AGATGGCTTGCGTTGGAGAAAGGCGACGGTCAAATAGAGGTTACTGTGGACAGCACAACTTACTCTACCTTCTCGGCTCAGGTTCGTTCGCGCTTTGCTCGAAAAATTGCCGACAGTCACCTGTGGACGTCAGTGTTTGGAAAAGCATGCAGCAGCACCTTCACACGTGTGCAAAGAGCTTCATGTTGTCTTTCAGTTTTGTTTAGTGCAATGATAGCTAATGCCATGTTCTATAACACTGGTGGCGAATCCGATGGTGCTATTCAGGTTGGGCCTTTTAAGTTTTCTTGGAAACAGATAGTCATCGGAGTACAAAGTGGCATTATCATTGCACCTATAAACATAATAATTGCTTTCCTGTTTAAGTCTAGCAGACCGAGGAAGAAAAGCAGTGAAAAATACCAAGTGACAGACGAGGCCCAACGACTTTTGGATGAAATAACGGACACTGGTTGTATGCTACCTCATTTCTTTGTCTATGTAGGCTGGTTACTCTGCTTCTGTACGACTATGGCGGCAGCAACGTTTACGCTGTTTTACAGTCTAATGTGGGGAAAGGAAACCTCTGAGCAGTGGCTTGCTTCCATCTTGATCTCCAATGGACAAGATATTTTCGTTGTACAACCCACGAAGGTAATGATAGCAGTCATCGTTATATCCTTTCTCCTGATCAGAAAGAATAAAATCCAATATGAAGAAGAAAAAGAGGAAATTGCAATCGATCCACTAGCAATTGAAATAGACTTTTTAAGTGACGATCCCAAACAGCGATTTAAGAAATGTCAGCGTGAAAAGATGAGGGAGAGGTCAAAAAAGGAAGCTCAGTTAACAACCATGACAAGAGACATTATCCTTCATCTGATATTTGTGTTTCTTCTGGCCATCGTTTCTTATGGAAACAAGAATGGAAATCGTTTCCTGATGACAACTGAGACGAGAAATCGATTCGCTAAATTCAATGTGGTAAGATTCTCGTTTTAGCTAAAACACACTTTCTAGTTTATAGTTAGAAGTCATTTTTGTTGTATTTATTTCTCTCTTGAAAAACAAACCCAAAATCGTCGAAGAATGAAATGACTTTTTAAAGAAAAATTAGAGCTAGGGTTAACCCTCTGACTCCAAGATCAAATTTGTAATTCTCCTTACTGTCAACCATACTGTTCTTATGATGTTAGTTCAGAGAATTTAGTATTGGATCAGCTAATTATCCCCAAATTGATATTTTCTTTATTCGCACACTTATCTGGTTGATATTACATTAACATTGTAAGAAGAAATTCACTCATGGGTGTTAAAGGGTTAAAGCATTTATCCCTGCTGGTGAGCTGCAATTAGATAAATCGCAGAAAAGAGGCTTGTAAATGCTCAGGTACATCCCAACTGATCTACGGAGCCATATGTTGGAAAAAGGTCAGTTATCATCAGTTTTTCACTCCCGGTATGTGAATTTCAATTTAAAAAACCAAAATTTCAATCAGTGCAAAAAATAAAAGTTAGGATCTGCCTTTTGTTTTGTTGGATGATTGTGTTTATTTGTTATTTTGATAAATATATCAACCTCATGAGATAACAATGTCAACAGCTCTCAAAGTCATATTTTTTATTTTAGGTATCTGATGCACAAAGATTTGAAGCCTGGTTAAGGAACGAGTTCCTATCAAACATTTATAATCAGGTGTGGTATAATGGACTTGAAGAAAAAAACGACCTATACATCGAAAACAAGATGTCCATACTAGTAGGAATGCCTTGGTTGCGACAGCTCAGAACTAGAAAAGGTATACTCAAATGCGATTGATCTATTTCCTTTTTTTTAATGCAAAAAAATTAATTTCGAAGAAGGCTCCTGTTGCAAAGTGCATAGAAAAATGAAACTAATAAATTATAGGAAACATATAGAGAGCCCTATTTCGAAATGATGTGACATACTCACCTCTGCAAAGTGTTTTTGCAGCTTAGTAAAGTCAGTTTTAACCTTCGATGATCACACTGTTGCTCACTTCCCATTGTGCTGAAAATTAATCGAAACAAAATCTTCCTATTCACACGTCTTAGAAATCACTGGATTTTTTAAATAGGACATTCATTTTGAGATATAAATCTTAAAGAATCAGCTTGTTTATTTTCTTTTCACCTTAACATCATCAATGGAAACTAGAGGTTTTAATTTCTGTCTTTGTATTTTTCCTTCAAGGTTCCTGCGCATCCCATCCTAAAATCGTCTCAACTTGCTATCACGACTACTCCTCAGATAGTGAGGACACTACTTTCCTAAGCCTTCCCGGCTGGA